TCTGTCCTCCTTGGTCAGTAACACGGCCCCTGTATTGCAGAGAACTCTTAATTAGATAATTCGTAATCAGGGCTTAATAAACTGGTCCCTGGAGAATGTGGTTTTATCTTTCTGAGAGGATCTGGAGGGTTCTTATGCTGCGGAGATTGGGGCCGTTTTCAACGTTGGCTGAGTGCTCACAGCATCAAGACATTTTCTTTTGAATATTTAAGGAATGCCATTGAAGCAGAACAATCTGCCAACACCTAAAATGATCATTACCTTACACAAATTCATTATACTTCAAATAAATACCTTGAGTTTCAATCGTTTTATCGATACTGATGCATTTACCTTTGTTACTCCCTTTTGTTTCCCTTCTAACACTGATTTTTACTTGTATTTTCTCTCGCAGTGGTCTTATCGTCCCTGAGAAGGACAGCAATGAAACGGTACCAGAAGTTGTGGCTACTTCTGGATATGCTCTTCTGCATTTCTTCAGCGACGCTGCCTATAACTTAACAGGGTTTAACATCACCTACAAGTAAGTAGCGCGGCTCCAAAGTGATGTGGCAGGCAGAGCAAAAGCAGGTTTTCCTCTTTTCTCACTTTTATCTTCAAATGAGCAATTGCCGCTGAAGCGTGTAATTACGAGTAGATCCTCGGATGGAGATTTTTATCTTTATTATACCCTCACAACGGCTAATAACTGTAACGTGCTCACCGTTCACTTCGGTTGTCAGCTGTAAGCGTGGGCAAATGTTTGCTTAAAAAAAGATGTTATTTATTTTACCTCGTTTGACTTACTTCATCACATCCAGTCAACCTGCTGTATTTTTGGGTGTCTGTGTTTGCTCTTATGCATTCTGCAGAGAAACTTCTACACAAACACCCTTTTGCATGGGCATCCGCCTTTCATTTGGGACACCGGAGGATCCTCAAACCCTTTTATTCGAGATCCTCTTATTCAGTTCTTGGGTTGAGTCACTTAATCTGACTCCTTTTCAGTCTGCAGTGGGTTTGCTCTATTCCTAGTCTAGGTGATCCTGCTCTGGCAGGGGTTGGACTGGATGGTTCGAGGTCCCTTCCAACTCCTGACTTCCTGTGGTATTCTTTGGTTCCTACGTTCAATATTACAGGTGGATGCTTTCTCTACCATATATTTAGTCCTCAATGGAAAGCTTTATAAGAATAATTCCAGGCTGCTCCCTAATTCATCGGCTGCTTTTAGACAGGTATTGTTTTGCAGTCAATGATCTCAGTGTGGATGTACCAGCAGAGATGGGATTTCTTCTTTCTGGTGGGATTCGTGGGCTTTGAATGGTTTTGCTCCTACAGATACAAATGAAGTTCGTGGTGCACCGAGGGGTTTGAATTTGGGTGTAACTTGCAGTTCTTGTCGCTCAAAAAAACGAGGGATCGCAACTCACTTTGTGCAAGATTTGAAAGTTTATCCTTAAAATGAGGCGCTTAGATTTTTTTCTGAAGACCAGTTTTGGTGCTTTCATCCTTATTAAGCACTGAAATATATAGCGGGTTCATGGGAAAATGCAGAACATTCAGCTCCCCTTGAAAACTCCAGAGGAAAACGGGGACCCTTTGCAAAGTGACTCGAAACGCAGTTGCGTTTTGCAAGTCTGGCCGATCCCGTAAACCACGGCACCATCTCCTGCCGGCTCTCGGCACTGCACCATTGCAACACGGCGGTGAAATCATCTTAAAGAATAACCTGCCGGTTTTAAGTTTAAGATATTTTAATATTTCTTTTAATTCTTCGCTTTCTTGATGATTTCAAACTATTATCTTGTAGCGTTTTGGTTTTTTTTTCTATGGGTTCTGCTCATCAGGCTTCCTCCTAACATTTTTGCAGGGAGTAGATAAAAGGGTGTATTTATTAATTTTCAGTTTAACAGTCTTTATAGTCACTACTGGACATAGCTACTCAACAGACACCTGTAACATATGGTCTTGGAGCCATTGACTGCACCTACTGCATGACAATATATTTGGTATCCCCAATATCCCCTTCTGTGAGTCATACACCAGCAAAAACTGCAATTTGGAAGTGAGCAGGGTCTCTGAATTTGAATCTTCACCAGGGATGTATCTGGCTTTGCCTCAGCTACATTGCAGCTATTATCAAATCAGAAATGATTCAAAACAGGCACATCTTGGGCTTGGGATTCATCTCAAGTGTGTTTCCCTTGATAAACGGATCCCAGAATAGCACTTAATTGTGAGCAGTTTAAGTATGAATCGCACAGACACCACAAAAGCCTTAAGCGCTGATTAAATCCTTCGCTGACTGTTGGGCGTTTGAAGGCGATTCATTTGCATTACAAGTGGCTAAAAACCATATTGATAATTTTTTTGAGGAGTCGTAAGTTTGACTCACGAAGTGAGGCAGCTCTGGATGGCAGACCTGAAACCAAATCCCTGTAAGTCACAGAATCATCAAATCATTGAGGTTGGAAGAGACCTCCAAGATCACCAAGTCCAATGTCAACCCAACCCCACCATGGCCACTAAACCCTGTCCCTAAGTGCCACATCCAGGCGCTGCTTGAACCCCTCCAGGGATGGGGACTCCACCACTGCCCTGAGCAGCCCCTTCCAGTGCCTGATAACCCTTTTCTTGCAGTACAGAAATTTTCCCCCATATCCAACCTCACCCTCCCCTGGCACAACTTGAGGCCATTTCCTCTCATCCCATCACTTGTTCCTGGGGAGCAGAGACCGACCCCCCTCGCTACCCCCTCCTTTCAGGAGCTGCAGAGGGGATAAGGTCTCCCCTCAGCTCCTCTTCTCCACTTGAACCCCCCAGCTCCCTCAGCCGCTCCCCATCATTCGGCTGCTCCAGACCCCTCCCCAGCTCCGTTTCCCTTCTCTGGCCACGCTCCAGCCCCTCAATGTCCTTCTGGGAGTGAGGGGCCCAAAGCTGACCCCAGGATTTGAGGGGCAGCCTCAGCAGTGCCCAGCACAGGGAAGGATCCTTCCCTGCTCCTGCTGCCCACACCAGTGCTGGGACAGCCCAGGATGGCATTGGCCACTTTGGCCACCTGGGCACATTGCTGGCTCATGTTCAGTCACTGTCAACCCATCCAAGTCCATCACATCAGGTTCTACATGAGCAGATCTCTGTTTTCTATGAGAACAAACAGCAGAACTGCTGTATTAACTTTTTATCAGCTTAATTTTTGTCTTTATTAATAAGAGGTATGGCTTTGGGATCTGTTTTGTGACTGTCACTACCCC